AGAATGGGAGGGCGGGGTGTTTATTTCTCCATGGACAAAAGAAAGCTGTCCCTGCTAAGCAATTTCAAAAGCCAGCAATACCAAAGTGGGTGGGTTTCCCAGACTTGCATGTCCTCGGGGCGAAATGCCATTCAAGATGGATGCGAACCAGTGCGGTGCCTTTTCTAAGAATGCAGGGCTGGGACCTGGTGATCCGGGTCTGAATCCCCGCTCAGCCACGGATCTCGCCGGGTGACTTCGGGCCAATCACAGGCTCCCCTTCCAGGCCCCCCTCACAGGGTGGGTGTCGTGAGGAGAGGTTTGAGAGGGGTTGCCTGGGGTTTCTTGGAAGGGAACTGGTGGGATATAAAAATAATACATCGCTAAATGCGATTCTGGTCGGATGGGTTGCTTCTCCCACAGCACACTTCCACAGGTTGCACGGTGCCTGGATCATGCCTGCCCAGTTTGTTCTAAAACTTCAGAAGTTCGTTCCTTCCTCGAAATTGTCAGGGTGGTTTCTCCTGGGATGGCAGTGGTTCTGCAGGAATATTTTCCTTTCTTTTGTTTCAAGAAGAATCTGAAGAGACTTCAGAAGAGCCTCCCTCTGACCGCCCCACCTGAGTCCACCTACCTGGACAGAAATGTTAGAGTGCTTCTAGTTTTAGTTCAGCTTATTCCCAACCGGGCAGACTCAGGCTTTGCTTCGAGGCAAACTCGCTCCGTTGAGAGGGCTCTCCCGCAACTGGGAAAGAGGCTTGATAGCTTCTCGCAGCCTCGCCCCGAACGCTTTTGCTGGCAAGCAACGCCCCTGAGCGGAGAGAGAAGCAAAGCACACAGAGGACTAGCCTGCTGCTGCTGCTGCTGCTGCGGCGCCACGGTCTTTGGATTGAGGTCAGTTCTTCTCAAGCGCACCCTGCCCCGCGCCCGAGCATTAGCCCGGCCAGACGTGCGACGCCAAAGGGTGGAAGGAATGCAGAAGGGAAAATCAACAGCCCCCCCGGATCTTTGGGGCTGCTGCTTCCGGGGCTGCCCAGGGTGTCCGCACGCCCGCACGCCCCGTGTGAACGTAGTAGACCCAGTTTCCTTCCCTGGCCAGTGGGGCCACTTGGTGACTTGGTTCGGTGCAAGCTCCATTGAACTGAAAGGGACCCCTTCCCAGCCAGGGGATACCAGTCGGCGGAGTGGGTGGGTGGGTGGCGGGTAAGTTTAGCCCGGGGGTCTGCGAACTCTGTGCAGACAGCCTCTAGTTCGCCCTATGGAGTCTGCGCAAGGAGCCGGGCAGAATGAATGGGCATCTCCGTCGCCGTCCGCCGGGAAGGGGTCTCCCGCAAGCCGCAGCGGGAGCGCGCGCACGCCTAGTCCTCGTGGGCAACACGCCCTCCCCATAATACCCGCCCCCCCCCCGCGGCTGCAGCGAACGGGGAACGGACAGCCCGAGCCGGCCCCTCTCCCAGCCCGTGCGCGCCCGTGTGCGCGGAGCCGCCCTCGCCCGCCTGCTCCCTTTGGAAGGAAGCGCGCCGGGCAGGGTGGCGCGGTCCGGCCCAGGTTCGGGGAAAGGCTCCCTGGCGAGACGCGGGTCGGGAACACGCCCTCCCGCAGGAAGGGGCAAGAGATGCTTGTCTCCACCGTGGGAGGGAAGGGGGCGGGCGGGGGGCGAAGCGAGGCCCCCGCCTTGCCCAGCGTTTGCAGCTCGTTCCCTGGAGCTCGGTGAAGATGCGGGACCCTTTTCATCTTAACGCAGCTGCCCCGTTCCCTTGGTTTGCGTGCGGTTTACTGAGGTCCGTGGTTACAGTCTCCATTTCTCCTGGTGGTGGTGGGAGGGACCCAAAAGGCAGTACATTCATTCCTTCTCTAGGAGCGAGTCCTTAACTCTGAAAAGCTGCCATGCAAACGCCTCCCCAGCACTTCACTTGACTTGTCTTTAACCGCAAGGAACAACAGAACCTGGCGCTTCCTGGCGAGCCTTCGGCCTTGTAAACGCCATTCCCATCTGCCAGCCACATGGCTTTCTTGGAAGGAAGGACTCCCCCTCCACACTGCTTCCAAGCCATCCAGAATAGCAGTTGAGATGTCTGTAACTGGTCAAACTGCCCAGGACTGGCTAAGGCAGGCTAGGAGTTGTAGCCCAACCTGTCCGGAGACCACTGGGAAAGTCTGTCATAGAGCAGTGCCTGAGTCTGCATTGGCATCTCCTCCTTGGCTTTCTCTTTGCACGGCAATGGATTTTGGAATACCCCTTGTGACTTGCTGCGTACCCTCAACTTCAATATAAGCTTTGTATTACCTTTAGACATAAAGCGAGCCAGGAACCCTGAAGAAATCAAAATTGCAAGATGTCATGTACTCTGGCTCAGATGTCAAGTCCAGGGGAGACTGTTGCCAAGAAATTCAAAGAAGATTGAGATTTGGAATGATCAAATATTTTGCACACATCAACTGGGATGGGAGGGGCTGATCCAGATCAGTGCTAGGGAGGAAGGTTAATGAGATATCCATGCGCCTTTTTCCCAACAAAATCACCCCTCTGAAACACCGTGCATGCACTTTCATGCAACTTAAAGCACCCGAGTCTGAGAACCCAAAGGTCCATCTATTAATTCAAAGATGTGGTGATCACTCCATCTGTTGCAAACAAAATGAAGAAAACAATAGACAATAATGAAAGATGCATGTGGTGTAATGTGAAAAGGTATACCCAGGAAAACTAATCAGAAGGAACATGACTACAGATTGAAGGACGACCTCAGCATTTCTCATGCCGCATAGCATCGTATTCGTCATTGCCACATCTTCAGCATCATTTAATTTGCATGGAAATTAGTGCCAGGGTCATATGGTTGCCACCCTTTTGCATCTCCTTTCTTGGGGGTTGGACCGTTCTAGATCTTTCCAGTCTGTGGGCCATGGCTGTGTTTTCCACATTCGTTGGCTCATGCTTGTTAAAATGTGGACCGATTCAGCCTCTGCAGGTTGGAATAGCTGTCGGTATCCTGTCTACGCCAGGTGCTTTAGTCCTCCCAGTGCAGTTTGCAAGGCTGACCCTTCACTCTGACCCACTTGTTCAGCGCCTCACTTACATGACCTCTTCACACGTCCTGTGGCTGATGCGTGGCCCGGTATGTTTTTGTGCTGAATCAAGTGTTTGGGCATTTTTGGTGCAGGAAAAAACCCACCATTATGACCCTCTTGTGGGCTTTCCAGCAGCGTCTGATTGGTTACTAGGGAAAATTAGACGCTGAACAAGACAGGCGTTTGATCTGATTCAGGAGGACTGTTTTTAGTTGTTATGCTTCAGGATCCAGCCAGAATTTAGCTGAGCAAGAAACATTTCTCATTTATGGATATATCCATACATCCCACTACATCCACAGCTAAAGGCATTCCAATTGTTCAGCTCCTATTTCTTTGTTCTATTTATAGCCTGCCTCTTTTCCTTTCAAGGAATTCAAGGCAGCTTACAAAATTATCCTCCTCTCCATCATATCCTCACAACAACCCTGTGAGGTAGGCTGGGTTGAGGGTCTATGGCTTGTCCAAAGTCACCCAGCAAACTTCCTGGCTGAGTGGGGACCAGAACCCAGATTGGTCCCAGCCCAGCCCTCCTGACCACTATACCACACTGCAGGAAAGGTTTCAAAGGGCCATTACATGATAACTTTGCGGGACTAAGATCAAGTGTTTGTGCAAAGTCGTCTTGCCTCTCAAAATTATTCCTCCCTTGCCTGATTAAGATTCTGGCAATGATTCCCGTTATCGTTTCCCTGTCAATTCACTGCCAAGATCCCCAGTTGCTGCGGAAGCCAGATCAGCTGAATCATTATTAAGGTCATCCACATAACTATAGCATTGTGGTAAGATTTCATAGCCATTCCCAGACAAGATTTATGGATGTACCTTAGATTTGTTCAGTGCTAAACTCCCGCTGAAGTCAAGGATCCACCTATATTTTCAAAGCCATGACTTGTCCTGTAGACTCAATGTCATACCCAATCTGGTATCCATTGCACAAAACAGTATTTGAGGTGGAGCATTATTTTTCAGTTCTTAGTGTTACTCTTTAAGATCTTTTCAGCCTTACAGTTTCAGTGGATAATCTCTGGTTATTTGGATGGGAGAGACAGCAATGTTCCAACTCACTAGTAACTCTGCATTTGTGGGCTGGGTGAAGTTGAAGACACTGGAAACTTTCTACTTTGCCGCTCATTGTACAAGTCTCCAAGGTACAAGTCCTATATCATAACCTCAGTTCTCTAATAAATAGACCCTTGTTGGTTAAGTTTGGGTACTTGCATATATTCCCAGCCAAGATGCAACATTTGCCCAGGCTGCTAGAAGAATAAGGGCTAGAGAAATCCTTGCAGTTTTGCACTAATTTTATGGATAAGGATTATCTCTTCTCACAGAGGGGCTGCGTGATTTTAATTAGTTTATTGTAACTATTATATTTCTACTATACTTTTTCTCCCCCAATATACACTCTCCCTCTCTCTGATTCAAGGCTGGCAGGAAAAGAGATCCACAAAAATATGCAACCAAATGCAGTGAGATTGTATGTGGCCGAGGCTGGGCTTAGCTTGGTTGTCCTCCTCCCCTACACACATCTGGAACGCCCCCACCATTCATGCATAGCCCTTCCCCAGAAGCAGAAGTTTTGGGAAGTCTTCACACATCCCATCCAACATACTGGGGCAAACCGAGCCAGGGAGCCCAACAGGCAATGCCAGCTGAGCTTAGCAAGACGGCCTGGGAATGATCTTGCTGCATGCTTTCACTGTAAGCAACTCAGCTTAGGAATGGGGCCACTGCTAGGCCTGGGCTCTATGCCTACTGTTAGATTACTGATGAGAGACTCATTCTATTCTCAGGCCCATTTAAAATCCCAGGGATGGGTCTCTGTACTCTTACTCTGGCCTCCATAAACAGGTCCTTCCAGCTATGTGTGGGTGGTGCTGCTTGGCCGGCTATGTAATACTGGGTGTACGTCTCGGTTGTACCCATTAAAACACTGCTCCCCATGATTCATTTCCAGAAGTATTTAATCAGTTAGTTTCCTCACTTCATCCATAGTTATAAAACGACAGGACTCATCTAGAAGACATCTGAGCTCTTTCTACATAAGTACACATCTATGTACTTCTAAAACCTAAACAGGTAGTGGTCGGAGCCAGTCTTCGACGGAAAACAATACCCCAAAGCTGGACTGCGTTTGCACTTGTCCTTCCGGTTGAACTCTTCATTCATGCTTCCTCTGTGGTTTGTAAAACAAAAGCAGGTGAAACGAAGCCATTCCAAAAAAAAAAGTCTGAACAAACCACCGAAGCTGAGTTGCTTTGTCTGTGATGCCTTTGGCCCTGTGGGAAAAAAGAAAGAAACCTTACATTGATGTAACATAAACCAAAATCGAGAAGGAGAGAAATGGGTCTGGTGCTCCGCATTTCTTGCAAAAGAGTGGAATGGGAGAAACGGTTGGCGTCCGCACTGCTGCTTGCTGATTGGCAGGAGAGGCCTGGGAGACTGTTCACAGCAGCATGGAAAAAATGCATTAGCAGCCCACAGTGCCAGTTCCAGACAGTCTCCAAGCAGGGTTTCCGGGTCCAAACTTGCACACCTAGTGTTTACAGCTCCTTGAAGTATTTCACACTTGCTTCCCTGCACACACAGGTCCTGCATTCACAAACAGGATGCAGGAGAAGAGGTGTAGTGGTTAAGAGCACAGGACTGGGACTGAGGAGATCCGGGTTCTAGTCCCCACCTGGCCAGGGAGCCAACTGGGTGCCTTTGGGCTGGTCACAGAGGCTCAGCCCAACTTATCTCACATGGCTGTTATTGTGGGGATAAGACTGAGAGCAGGAAGAGAAGACGGATGCAAGCTGCTTTGAAGTCTTTAAAAAATAAAAAGGTTGGGTATTAATCTAATAAATAGTAAGTACAGCAAAGTGTGAACTGCACCTTCATAATCTCTGGGATTTGGAAAAACATTTCCTTCTATCTGGATCCTATCCGCATTCACTTATTTGTATCCCGTCCAATACCAAGGGCTCCTGGACAGCTTAGAAGCATGTTTTGCTCCGCTGAATGGGGCTTACTCTCAAATTATATATAGCACTGCAATGGCAAGGTGAGAAATTAGAATGCAGAATACAAGAACACAGAATCCTAGGACAGGATTCGAGGGTGGAAGGGGCCAATGAAGCCATTTGGTCCAACTCCTTGCTCAGTGCAGACTGAAGCATCCCCAACTTGCTGTCCAAAGCAGTTGTTCTGAGCCTTATCACGGTGTGGAATCCATGTTTTCTGGTTGCAGCTCTCCTTAACTACAGGGACATACTCATGTCCTTTTGTGTTTTCTTTTTACAGTGTGTCTAGCTATTTATTCTATCATCTACCAGGTTTTTTTTCCTTTTAATGGTAAGTCCAAGAGCATCTCCAAAGTCTATGCTTGAGACAACTTAACACAAGCCTCGGTCTAACAAACAAAAGAAGTTGTTAACCTGAGTGTGGGACAGGAAAGTTTCTCCAACAAACAGAAACAAACCCACACAAAGAACATTTCTACACTTGGATACAGACTCACTGCTTTGTTTGAGGCTTTTGAGGTCTAGGAGGAAGTGGGGATAGATGAGAGACCAAAGAAATGATGAAACAACTTACTTGCACAGCTTGAGTGAATACAAGGCTTCTCCTATATGGATTAACCAGGTCACCACATACCTGCAAGTAAGAAAAGAGCACTGTTTGGACTGAAGTGAATTAGAAGATATATATAACTTCCGTATAACCTGAAGTGCCTGATCCAATCTAATCCTGGAAGCTAAGCAGGGTCAGTCCTGGTTAGAATCTGGATGGGTGGCCTGAGTCTATGATCCTATGATTAATGTAGCAAACTGCTCCGAGAGCTTTGGCTCTAGGCAGTACCGAATTGTAGTAATAATAGTAATAATTCGCAGCAGTAGGAGAAGATGATGATGCTAGTTCTGGAGCCTGATGAAAAATTGCAAGCAAATATTCCCAGCCACCGGCTAATGAATATATTCTTGTATAGTTCCTCTTTATTTCATTAGATTTGCACGGGAGAACCTCAGGGCAGATTGTGGCTTACGTCTAGGCTCCATTGCATCGTCCAGGCCCTGCCAGAAGCATGCTGAGGCGGTGACTGAGGTTCAACAGGTAATGCAAATTTACCAGTGTCCAAAAGCCAAAATAGTTTCTGGAGAGCAAGCCAATGCCTCATGGTCATCACTTATTAGTTAAAACACTGGCGGTAATAGGCATGAAGTTGCTTCTGTAGATAAGTCCTGCCTCTGCAGTGAGAACAAGGCTCTTTACCCTACTGAAACACCTTTGCTCCCAGGAAGGGGGCGGGAGTCGGGGTGCAACCAGGCAAGCTCCGCAATAGTGGGAAAGGGGAACTGTATCAGGCCCATGTCAAAAGGCAGCTCTCAGCCTGCTCCTGGCCTGGGCGGAGGGGTGGATGCCATCACCTGCCCAGGCACCTTTGGACACAAATGGAGGAGCCTTGGCCTATTCGGGAAACCACAGGGCACTGAGAGGAACAAGCTTTCCTTGCTTGTTTGTTAATAACCTGCATCCATATGGCATCCTTGTAACTGATAAACTGTAGAGCAGCACTGACACATGGTTTTGTGTCTTCCGATGTATCCACAGTCCTAGGGTCAAGTCAGAAGATCCACCCAGCTCCCATCCTGCTGCCTTTTCATGGCAACCAAGATCCGCCTCATCAACTTGTTACACATAAGTTTCAGTTGTCCATTGAATAGACTTGATCAAAACCAGATTCCTTAATTTGAGAAGTAGAAAATATTAGCTGAGTTCAGACAACACAATAACGCACAACCATGGGTTGAATGTGGGCTGTCATTAAACCATGGGCTGTCATGCTGTCCAAACCTAGCTGTGCTAACAAGCCATGGTTTGGTAACCACAAGCAATCCATGGTTCACAACCCATTAGCAACTCATCAGTTCTCTTCATATTAACAGCCACGTGAAAAAACCAGGAATTGAGTTCAGACAGCATGGTAACCTATGCTTCAAAGCAACCCATGTTTCAACCCATTCACAATCCTTGAGTGTGTGTTATGTTGTCTGAACCCATCTGCTCCCAATTCGATCCATCATTCTGGCTCCATTCAATGACACTTCTTAAGTTTAGCGTTGTTTTACAGGAATGTAAAGGCAAAAGTTGACAATGCGTGGAGTTCTTCATTAGAAACACAAGTGCACAGGACTTTAAAAAGTAGAGAATAGTCACAAGACAGCTCAGGTAGGAATTCTGAAGTGGAAAAGAACCAGAGGCGAAATGGTTAATCACCCTGTTCCCCAGTCAGTCTTCTTCTGCTCAGACTAGCAGCCTGCCAGGATTGTTTTCGTGTTGCTTTCCAAAAAAAAAGACAGGCAGGCAGAGGAAAATGTGGTGCAGTGTGCAGAATAGTGGTTAATGCTGGAATTGGGACCCGGGAGATCCAGGTTTGCGTCCCCGCTCAGCCATGACCTTTACTGGGTGACTTTGGGTTAGTCACAGACTCTCAGCCAAACCTACACCACAGGGTTGTTGTGAGGAGAAAATGGGGAAAGGGGAGATTTTGTACAATGTCTTGGACTACTTGAAACTCAAACTCCATGTAATATCTAGCCAACACGTTAAAGCAAAAAGCAATTACCTACCAAGAAAAATTGAACTCTATAGCCTGTATAGATCAAGAACATGCGCATGCATTTTTTTCTTTTTCATCATTTAGCAATGTGTCATTTTGAATAATCCCATTTTTATTTGCATAGGGAGGGCCCAAGAGACTACTGAAACAGGCTTCCACCTGCCAAAGACTTACATTCATCCACTCCCAAACACTTTCAAGCCAATTTCCACCGCCTGAATGGCTAGAAACTTGCTTTTCTTAACAACACCAGAAAGCACACTCACAGGGAGCTGAATTCCGCTACCAATACTACACTCCAGGTTTTTTTTTCCTACTCCCAGGAAAGCCTGGCATTCAGGAGAGAAGCCACAGTGGTTTTTCTGAGAGCAGTAGGCATTCGGACATTACACACACCCCCTTTGCTAAAGTATTACGGATGGAGAGGATGGGTGCTTGAAACACCAACCCTAAGAACCCTACGTGGCTTTCACTGCACACCTCTGCCCACAACACCCTCGCTGCACCTGCTCCCCAGGTACTCCAACCTGTTGCAGGGTATGCCAAATAGCAGCTGGCATACGCAGCTAATATTCATGCTACCTCATTTGAATCATTTGGCTTTCACAACTGATACTCCCAAAAGCACCGCTTCAGTTTGAGGACGGAAAACATCACGCGCTCTGACCTCCGCTTACCCCACTTGGAGCCAAATTTTATGATGCTTCAGCAAATATTTCGTTGCACTGCCAAATGGTCCCAGGAGGCCATAAGGGACTGTTGAAGGTGCGAAGACGACCCACTAAAGAGAAGAGGAAAGGGGAAAGCCATAAATTGTATGAAGACGCTGCACGATAACACATCACTTTTCTGAGCCGGAGTTTGCAACCTGTCTCCCCTACATGCCCCTCTCCCCCAATTTCCTTAAAGTCAATTTCCCAATTGACCTAAGTTACATATACAAAGCACGCTGTTCCTGCGCCGTTTTTGCAGGAATAGCGTAGCCATAAAGAAAACCCAGCAAAGGGAGGACATGGTGCACAGCACAGGTGGACGTCTCCAAGTGTTTTGCAATCCCCAAAGCCCTTGCCATCCGGCAGGAATGCTGGGAGCAGCTGCTCGAAACTTCTGGAAAATTAATCAGGACGCCAAATTTCTCGCGAGCTGCACATCTTGCCGGTCGGCGCAGAAGCGACCAATGCACATCTCAGAAAGGGCAGCCCGGGCCGCGCGGACTCCGCCGCCTGCAGGGGAAGAGGGGCGCGCAACGGGCTGCCTTCCCTTCCGCTGCCCCGGCCGTGGAGCGAGCGAGCGAGCGGCCCTCCGGGGCTGGCGGAGGCGGCACCGCGGCCAGCCGCACCTCCCCGCGCCCCGAGGACGCCGGCTTACACTGTAGTAGAGCAGGCCGACGCCGATCACCGCCATCCAGAGCAGGTCGGCGCGTCGGAAGTAGGTGCAGGGGTTGCCGGCATCCTTGCTCTGCCTGGGGCGCCCGGAGCCGCCCTGCACTGCCGATCCCGCCGCCATGCCTGCGCCGCATCTGGCCCCGCAGCCCGCGCGGGACGGCACTACCCCCGGCAGCCCGCCCCGGGGGCGGCGCAGGGAATTCCCTCCCGGCCGCGTCACGAAGGAGTGGGCGGGGCCGGTGGCGCCATACAGGGATGGGCGTGGCCTCGCGGCGCTCACGGCCGTGCCAACTATTTGTGCCCCGCTTCCCCCCCCCCGCTTTCCTCTTGCGAGGAATCATTTATTAATGAAAGGATTAACAGATTGGATGGGATAGTGAGGAATCATTTATTAATGAAAGGATTAACAGATTGGATGGGACAGCTAAAACCCACCTAATGAGAAGGGAGGACTCATTGGAAAAGACCCTGATGCTGGGGATGATGGAAGGCAAGAAGAGAAGGGGCGGGCAGAGGTTGAGGTGGCTGGATGGGGTCCCTGGGGCGGAGAGTGGGGGCTTGGGTGGACTCCGGGGGATGGTGGAGGACAGGAGGGCCTGGTGGAATGGTGTCCTTGGGGTCGGGAAGGGTTGGACGTGACTTTGTGACTAAACGAGGCAACAGCAACAAAGGTAATACCCTGGGAGGCAAAAACAAGAGCCAAGGTGAGCTGCGTGGGCTGAAAACAACAGAATAAAATTCCACGGGGGCAAATGCCATGCTCTGCACCTGGGAAAACGCAACCAAGGCTTGGCTCAGCCGTGCTGCAGTGAGAATGGTGGTAGATCCCAAGCTGAATATGAGTCAGCGGTGCGATGCGGCTACAAAAAGGGCAAATGCTGTTTCTAGCTGCCTTAATAGAAGCATCTTCCAGATGGAGTAAACATGGAAGTGCCAGCACTGGTGAGGCCTCCTCTGGAGCGCTGTGTCCAGTTCTGGGCAACACCGGTTAAGAAAGATGTGGACAAGCTGGCAAGTGTTCGGAGGAGAGGAACGGATGATCCAGGGACTGGAGACAAAGCCCTCGGAGGAGGGATTGGAAGAACTGGGCATGCCGAGCCTTGAGAAGAGTGAGAGGAGACATGATGCCGCTCTGCAAGTACTTGAAATGCAGTCACAAAGAAGATCAAGAAGGTTCTCTTCTGGATCATCCCAAGTGCAGGACATGGAATAATGGGCTGAAGTTACAGGAAGCCAGAATTCCAGTGAGAGGTCAGGAAAATTTCCACACTGTTAGAGCAGTAGGACCATGGAACCAATTACCTAGGGAGTCTGTGGGCTCTCCAACACTGGAGGCATTCAAGATGCAGCCAGACACCCATCCAAGAGGGGTGCTTGAACCTGGAGTCTTGCAGTGAGCAGGGGGTTGGACCTGATGGCCTTCTGGTCCCTTCCAACTCTGCTATTCTGTGATTCTGTGAACTCAAGGTGACTTAAAGGTAAAGGTTTCCACATGACATTAAAGTCCAGCCATGTCTGACTCTTGGGGACGGTGCTCATCTCTGTTTCCTAGCCGAGGACCCAGCATTTGTCCGCAGACAGTTTCCGTGGTCATGTGGCCGGCATGACTAAACACCAAGGGGCACAGAATGCTGTTACCCTCCCGCTGTTCCCTTCTCACTGAAGTGGTACCTATTTATCTACTTGCATTTATATGCTTTTGAACTGCAAGGTTGGCAGGAGCTGGGACGGAGCAACGGGAGCTCACCCCGCCTGCGGATTCAAACTGTCAGCTTTTCAATCAACCAGCAGCTCAGCAGTTTAAACCACTGCACCCCCGCATCCCATACATAGCTCCAATTCACCCTAGCCCTCAACAACCCTGAGAGATAGTTTGGGCCCATGAGGCTTACTTTCATTACTATACTGCCCTGTAGCCAAAACATAAATGTATTATAAGCTGCCTAGTGTATTGTAAGCCACCTAGGAAGACCTGGGCAGTTATATGCAGCCTATAAATATTTGTACAAATAAATAAATAAACACTCAGACAGAAACATACAGCAGTAAAAACATCATAAAACTGCATTAAAAGAACATCTTTGCAACAAAAGCTAAAACCAGCTAGTCCTGCTTAAAAAAAAAAATAGCCGTCATGCCTACCTGCACCCTCCTGGCCTCTTTGGAATTGGTAATTGTCTTAATGTAGAAGGAGGACTGGACCTGGCACCAAAGGAATAGCAAGGTTAGCACCAGGTGGGTCTAATAGGGAGATATTCTAAAAAGGGGGGCTACCACAAAGAAGGCCCTGGTATTTTATTTATTTTCGATAAATTATCTACTGAGCCTCACTTAGAGGTAACATTCGGAGATGGTCTCAGAGGCAGAGTGTGGTGTTTGGGTATGTTGAGTTCTGCCAGGTATTGTGATCCCAAGCCATCTAAACGCCCAGGAGTCCTCACAGAAAGAAAGGCTTGGGGAGGGTCTTCCAAGGATGTCAGTGAAAGCGATTCGTGCTCAGGCGAGGAACAGGAAAACTTTGCCCAGCCTGGGAGTGACTGAACAAGTGAATCACGCTCAGGCTAAACATGCATTCCTATCTTTGCAATCATGAGGTTAAGCAACTTGGCACTTAACAATGTGGCCTGTGTTTTTCTTTGTGTATTTTTGCCCCTTTCCTGCCTATCATATGGGAAGGGGAAATGGGAGATTCGCCCTCCAGACATCCACACAGGGTAGAAAAATCAAACCTCTCCCAACACACCCGCCACAACTCACTGCCACAAATCCAGTCTGGGTGGGGACTGGGATTGCACACCCCCACTTCCACCTTGCCTACTCATGGCAGGGCACACAAGGCCAACTGTAAACCCACCCGAGACACCAGTAGATGGATAGTCTATAAAAGCCTTCAATCAACCAATCAATCCATTAAGTCCCCACCGTAATAGCGGTGGGGGCTTAACGTGTCCGCGTAGAAGAAGGAGGGACAGATGGTTGACACCTGTCCCTCCTTCTGGTTTTGCCCCCAGCCAGAGGGTTCCAGGTAGTCTTGTCAACCGCCCCTCGGGCCTGACGGTGCTGTTGCTCAATGCCAGGTCAGTCAACAATAAATCTTCCCTCATCCATGACTTGATTGTGGATGAGGGGGCCGACCTGGCTTGCATAACGGAAACCTGGGCGGGAGAGGGGGGGATGTCACCCTCTCTCAGATGTGCCCGCCCGGGTATCTGGTTCAGCACTGTTCACGCCCGGAGGGGAGGGGAGGGGAGGGGGGGTTGCTTTGGTTTACCGAGCCTCCATCTCTCTCACGGGACTTCCGGTCCCTTCGAGACCAGGGCTGGAGTGCCTCTACTTGGTGTTGGGTGACCGAGACAGATTGGGGATTCTGTTGGTGTACCGTGCACCCTTCTGCCCAACAGTCTCCCTGCCTGAGCTGACGGAGATCATCTCGGACCTGGTGTTGAGGACCCCCAGGGTGTTGGTCCTGGGGGACTTCAATCTCCATGCCGAGACTGGTCTGACTGGGGCGGCTCAGGACTTCATGGCCTCCAGGATGGCCATGGGGCTGTCTCAACATGTCACCGCCCGACCCATGAACGTGGACACACTCTGGACCTGGTTTTCTCGATGGGGCAGGAAGAGGGTGGTCTGAGGGTGAGGAATTTATGTTTGACTCCCCTGTCATGGTCAGATCACTTCCTGGTGAGGTTTGTGCTTGAGAGAGACCTCTCCCTCTGCAAGGGTGCGGACCCAATTGTGTGGGTCCGTCCCCGGAGCCGGATGGATCCAGATGGATTCCTGAAGGCCCTCGGGGAGTTTCCGGCTGACAAGACTGGTGCTCCTGTCGAGGCTCTGGTCGAACTGTGGAACGGGGAGATGACCAGGGCTGTGGACACAATCGCTCCTAAGCATCCTCTCCCACCGGGCAGAGCCCACTCTTCCCCTTGGTATACACCTGAATTGCGGGCGATGAAGCAGGTTGGGAGACAGCTAGAGCGTAGGTGGAGGAGATCACGGGATGAATCTGACCGAACACACTTGAGAGCCCATTATCGGGCCTATGCTGTGGCGGTGAGGGCGGCGAAAAAGAGGTTTTTTTCCGTTTCCATTACCTCCTCAAAATGCCGTCCAGTGGAGCTTTTTTGAGTAGTGCAAGGCCTGGTTCGTCCAGGTCCTAAGAAAAATCTGGTTCCACCCTCAAAGGCCTGCTGTGACGACTTTGCCATGTATTTCAGGGAGAAAATCGCTCAGATTCGTCACGAGCTAGACACCACTAGTGAATCAGAGGTTTCTGGGGAGACACCAATGCTGCCGTCTGGTCCAGAATTATTGGATGAATTTCA